GCACTTACGCTCGGGTCGCGGTAGGTGTTCCCGGGAAGGAACGGCAGTCCATGGACGGGGTGCGAGGCCATGGTATAGGGTCGCCTCTCTCGTAGCTTCTCCTCTGCCGGTTAGCTTGCTGTGTCTCCAGGCAGCATCAAGGCTCTGGTCTCCATGGTAACGGTAAACAAAGTGGCTGGACACACCCCCTCCAGTGCTGACGGACAGCTGAGAATGTTACATGTGATCACCTGGAGAGGATACAATGTAACTCCAGCAGCCTTTAACCCCTTCCTCACCGGCACGCTTCCAGCTCACCATACCAGACAACCTAATTCCTGCAGCCTTTAACCCCTTCATCACCAGCACGCTTCCAGCTCACCATACCAGACAACGTAACTCCTGCGGCCTTTAACCCCTTCACCACCGGCACGCTTCCAGCTCACCATACCAGACAATGTAACTCCTGCAGCCTTTAACCCTTTCACCACCGGCACACTTACAGCTCACCATACCAGACAATTGACTTCAATGGGTTCCTGCATGTGCGTCAAACGCAGGAAAGTAGCTCATGTAGCAAATTCTGCTACAAACGTCCCACTTTTTTTCCCTGCGTGTTTTCTTTCGCACGCAAACGCGTATTTGTCTGGTCGCCTTTGGCGTGCCATTAACTAGTAATGGCACTGCAAGTGCCTTGCATGTCGTTGACGCGTTCTGTGAACAATAAAGTGCACATTTTTTCCACATGTTTGGGTGTGCTCATAGAACACTGAGGTGTGAAGAGGTTACCAGTGAAATGTTTTTGTTATCATACATATTGACTGTCAGTCGTTTTGGTGTCACCCCTCAAATGGTGTCACCCACATGCGGGCCGCACTCCCCGCACCGCCCTTGCGACGTCACTTCTGCTGGGTGCCACCATCTTGAATGTAATGTCAGCAGCCCCAGCAGACTCGGAGCTGTCTCTAAAATGACAGCTGTTACTTAGTGCACTTATCCTTTTTACCCCTTTGCTCTGCAGCCTTCCCCTCCACAGATATGTACTTACTGAGATCCAATGGTGTCAGCTTCCGATGTTTATTTACAATCCCCTGCCACAAGTCCTCTTCCTCCTGGCCGTGCATGCACATTACAGCCCCATCTATAGGACTTTTACAGGGATCATCTACCTTCGTCATCCAGCCAGGAGATGAGCCCCATAGACTTCTTAATGATCATTTATCAAAGAAGTAATTTCACTCATCATTTCGAAATAATAGGCTCCAGTGACTTGCTCGATTTTGATCCATGCCAACCTGTTATATATATAGTTTTTTTGCTCTGCCTATCTAGAGGCAGAGCCAGCTGTACCCGCCCCCTCCCCCGTCCGTTCCGCCAGTCAGCGCAGGAGGATCGGAGAAGGGAGGGGGGGAATACCTGTAGGTGCCGTGAGTGACAGTCACCGCTCTCTGCAGGGACATGATCGAGAGATGGTATGTGTTCATTCACTTCCCGATCTACTGAGCCGACCTGTGACAGTTTGATTGACACACGTCGGCTTGAACTATGAGGTGAGCGAAAAGCACTCACCTTATAGTTCTCCTTTAATATAGTTGTGGGGTCTGCCTGAGAGCTGACCTGGAAGAAAACTGAAGAAGGTTTATTATACATTTTCAAACATTTTCATATCTGACTTTCAGCGCTTATTGAGTCTTAGGCTCTGTTCACACCTAGGCGTATCGAATATGCGTGTTTGTCGGGGATTCGCGGTAATAAAACGCGTGACAAACGCGCGTGTCCGAGGGCTACTTGGCTGTATCCCAATGGAAACGCGCAACAAAAATGCTGCAAAGAAGCTCATGTACCTTTTCAGGCGTGGGTAGGGTTGCCACCTTTTCTTCTAACACTCAAGTGACACACAGACATTTTTTGGGGGGGATGAGTTGCGACCTATTCATATGGAAATAGTGCCGTCCATTCATATGTAAATATCACAGTCAAGACTATTTTTAGTGGGGGGCCAGTAGCCCCTATCTTCATTTTGGTTGCCCCTGTCTGCCTGACATCTTGTGTCTGGGTTTCTGCTGCCATGAAACCCGAACACAGCATTCAAAACCCGGACTGTCCAGGTGAATCCTGGACAGGTAGCAACCCTAGGCGTAGGCCGTTTTGTAGCGCGTTCAGACGGTGGTGTGAACCATACCCATAGAAAACAATTGGATTTGAATGTTTGAGCGTTTTGTAGAGCGTTCGTAGAGCGTTGAACGCGCTACAAAACGTACAGGTGTGAACCAGGCATTAGGGTCTGGGATGTAGTGGCTTCACCCGGCATATAGCTGGGCAAATGCTGTTCGCAAAACACCACTAGATGGAGCTAGAGAAGCATTGCAAATTCCTGTGCTCCTCTGCGCCACCTAGTGGCTGTAATGAGGTGCGTATGGCAATTGTCCAGTTATATGCTGGGTGAAGTCTTTCAGGGTTATTCACAGAAGGGTGAAGAGTTTGGAGAAGGCCGGAGAAGGGAACAATCTAGGACAACATAGCTGATTGGGAAAAATTCTCCAATTCAGCTCACTTTCCAGTCCAGCTATGTTGTCCTAGATTGTTCACTTCTCCTGCCTGCTCCAAACTCTTCACCCTTTTGTGAATAGACCTCTATGTATTAGCCCCTTAATGTCTAAGCAATAGAAGGGACGAGGGTGGCACCATTGTTGAGCTGTGCTTACTTGTCCTTAATCACAGGTCAACTGCACAATTATTTTCATTTCACTTTGCGGCTTGGGAGGGCGATCCATACGTTTTAAATGTAATTTCTGACTCAACGTTTTGTGATGACATACGGGGATCTTCTGCAATAAAATTGCATCATTGATTGATTGACCCGTTTAGTTTCTGCAACTTGCTCAATCTTCTCAGAGCAAATGACTTCCAACACTTGCGTACCTTCATGCTTTGTCCAACTGGTTTTCTCAATTGCAAATTTGCTGCATAATAGGATTTTTATTGTCTTCTGATGAATTAACTAAATCAATGCAGCCGGGATTCCCTCCCTAGTGCTATAAATACATAAACCCGGGGAACCTGTTA